TGTTCGACCATTATCAGGCCGATGGAACGGAAAAAAAGAGGGGGGGGGAAGAAAGAAAGAAAGAAAATGGAGCGCTCGTTCGGATATTTTATTAAGGAACTGGAAACTCGGCGTCACGTTGCCGCTGCGAATCAAAATGAAATTCACCGTGACAAATGTCGGAAGGATCGGAATATCGCACATGATTCACCAATTCCGACGAGCTGCTGGTCCGCGTTCGCGATTCTCGATCGTGCGCAAACGATATCGCTTCCGGTATACCGGATGGATCTCGAAGAACGGTCAGGTTTATTTAAATGTCCGAAGACGAAGGAATTTTTCCGTGGACCCGACGGTGCGCATGTTAACGTAAGCAATAAGCAATAAAGTCGCGCAGCGACTCGACCGTATACACGAGGGAGGTTGCGTTTCACGGGGATGAAGCCGTGCTGGAGGAAATCGCGACGTTGTGCCAGAGATATTCTATTATATTGGTTTGTCCAATCGGATTTTCGCGACGGCGAACGGAAAAAAAAAAGAAAAAAATAGAGAGAAAAATGAGAGACGCGAGTGGATACGGACCGATCGATCGCGAGGTAGAACGCTACGATATTACTGTAACTAATATAGAGTCTATATTATATTATTGTACAAGCATCTTTGTAATAATTAACCCGAACCGAGTGACGAGAGGAAACGAAAGGGAGATAATGCGAGCAATGAGGCGCGAGATGAATACGCAGCAATAGATAAACGGATACTGAACAAAGTGAGAAAAAAGTGAAAAAAAAAACAAGCAAAAAAAAAAACAAAGAAAGGAACGAAGGTAAATAGAGAGAAAGAGAGTGAAACATAAGAGAAGCCAATCGCTATTTTACCACTTTTCCAATCGCGGTAAACGTAGTTTCTACGCCGTTAAACTTTCCTTCGTGTTCATTTTTACGACGCGAACGAGAGCGAGCCTCTGATCCCTGAAAGATTCCACGTTCGTAAATACATCACTTGCCACGCAGATTCCAATATCCCAAATGCGTATCTTACTTTTATTCTTTTCGTTCGTTCGCGCGTTGTTGAGAGAATCGGCTCTCCCTAATCTCGGAATGAAACGAGAATATTTCGGAACGTCGTGTGGTCCGCGTCTCAAAGGCTCAGGGTGCAAAAAGCAAAAAAAAAAAGAGGAAAAACATTCTTTCAGAAACGAGCAAAGCAGCACGTAACTACGCAGGTGGTGGGAGGGGGAGAGGGCCGTTTTCGTTGCTGACGTGCTTTTTCGTCGAGGAAGGAAATATCGGAGCGTGGAAGAAAATGCTCGCGCGACATGCGGAAAAATGCGGTGGATCAAAGGCTCCTCTCTCAGAGGCGTTCATTTAATCGAGTGAAAGACGCTCTCCTTTTCAGGGTTCTCAGAAGAGAGAAAGATCGATCGACTTTCGTTAGGCTTCTCGGCGAAGTACCTTCCCGACAAGTTACTTACCGTCGTTGCGCACAGAAAATCGCGGATTAACGAGCCACGAGGGCGTCTTTCTCCCCTTTCCCCCGTTTCGTTCTCCGCTTTATTTTTCCACGACTTTTTGTTCGTTTCCTCACCGGACGAGTAGAATACTTAGTGGTTAGGACTTTTAAACGATTAGCACGTTAGATGCCGTACTGTACCTAAGAAGACGCAGCGTATTTAGCATTAACCATAAGGTGAAAAAAAAAGAACATAGCGATTAAGGATTACTCTAGCTTCATAGGGATAATAAGCTCATTGTGACAGCAATCAGAGGTGCCCCGCGGTCAAAACGCGAACGAAGACAACCCAAGTTTCCTTTCCCCGAGCACGTTTTTCGATCGACCATCTCGCGTCTGTCGCGCGTGCACTTCTTGCGAATATAGTCTCGAATCCCAATTCCGTCTGGAGCGTGCGTGAAAGATGTTTCGAATCGATAAGAACGAGTCAAAGAACGAGAGAGAGAAAGAGAGAGAGAGAGAGAGAGAAACGAGCAGGGGCGCGGCAACGACGTCTATTAACACTTAACCGGTACCATTGGAAGTCATAATCAATTTACGCTTTCCGTTACTTCATTTTGGAACTTTCAGTTTGATTTAATTTCACCGCCACTCTTTATCGGGGA